ATTTGTCCGAGCCAGCTATCAGCTCTGCCCCGAGGACTGGGCGGCCCTGGGGGGTGCGGAGGAGCACTTCTCTCCAGACATTTCAGCCAGAGCCCAGGACTGACTTCCGTGTGTCCCACTTGGTCAGATGCCTGCTGATCACTGGGATGAGCTGGGCTGACTGGCCAGGTGTGGGGCATGTGGTCACCCTGGAAGATGCAGGGTGCCCTCACCGGAGGGAGGGGTATGGTTTCTGGAGAGGCAGGAATGACCTGCTGCACCCCCCCACCCCCAATACAGCCCTGCTCGGTCTGGGTCTGGGTCTGGGTCTGCAGCGGGGAGAGGGGGCAGCTTACAGCATGGGGCGGGGGCGGGGCACAGGCCATAGACACAGTATGTGAGAAGGTGATTAAAATGGCTCTGGAAAAAAGTAGGTAAAGGGGTCAGCATGTCAGAGTGGGGGCAGGGAGGTCTAACTGAGAAGGTGACCTTGAAGCAAATCCCTGGAGGGGAGGGGATGCCCCCAGAAAGAGCGTGGGGGACAGTGTCCTCGAGGGAAGAGCAGGTGGAAAGATGTACAGCTGGAGTGGGGTGACAGCAAGGGGGCTGCCTCTGGTGCCCGCTTAGGGTTTGAACTCAGTCCCTGTAGCTGGGCCTTGGGGGCTGAAGGACAGATCCACTTCCCCCACCTCGCCCTCCCCAGCAGCACCTCTGCCCCCACGGGGTCTTCTCAGCTTCCTCCTGTGAGGCTTCCTCCATGGGCTATTGCCAAAAAGCCTTCCCTCCTTTCCTCCCTTCTTCCCTCACGGTGTCCCGCCCTCCTCAGGGTGAGCTCTGGAGTTGGGCCCTGCCACGGGGCTGGGGGCTAAGGAGCAGGGATCAAAGGCCGGAAAGCTCACAACTCTCCTTTTGGAGCCATCTCTTCCAGAACCCTTATGTTTGGTTTTTTACTTGCTGGAGTATGAGCCCCCAGGACAGCAACCACCCCTCTCTTCACTGTTGTGTCCCGTGTCCTGCATGGGCTGGGAGGCTGGCGATCTTCCAGGCGCTGCCCGCTCCCTCCTCCCCCTCACTGTGCCCACCCCAGATCTCACGTCTTCCCGCAGGGCGGGGCTCTGGGGGGCCCAGGGAGGCGCGTGTGTGTGTGTGTGTGTGTGTGTGTGTGTGTGTGTGTGTGTGTGTGTGTGTGTGTAGATGCGTGATGA